TTAATGTGCTAAATACTTTGGCTTCAAACACTGTGTTGTATAGCTAACTTGTAACATTTGTTTGTGAAAGTTTATATGCTAGTTTATGTCTCATACGTTGTGATACCCTGTTAAATATGAGGTTTTTAGCATAATCAGCACACCACCAGGTGGTAGCAGCCTAATTGACTTTCTCATATTTTCCATCAATAGTTTAGAAAAGTATTAACTACTTCAAATTAATTGGTGTTCTGTTATGGCAGTTTGCTAAAAAATAGTAGATGTTACCAGGATGACCCATAATCAGCACTAATCAGAGTACTTCGGTACTCTGGTAGGATTGACAGCCCTTCCTGACATTACCTGACATTTAACACTAAGCTCTGGTCAGTGATCCTTGTTAGTAAACTGAAGAAATAAATTAATGTTTGGTGGTAATCTTAAATTTCTTTAGTACATTATAAAACCCATGATTAGGTATGCAAAACAAAAATAATATTTTAGAGATGAAAAGTAGTTGGAAAAAGTCTGTCATCTGACAAGTTTATGGTATTCAAGTGCTGGTGCTTTCTCATGAGTGCCCTTGTGCTCTCTTTTGTGTGTGCTTGTGCTTGTTGCACTCAATCTCTTGCTTGCTCATGCTTAGTTTCTTACACTTTTCCACATGTGCTGTTGCATGCTTGCCGTCATGCCCTGTCTCTTGTGTGCATGGTCTTGGGCTAGTGTTCTCTCCCTTTCTCGGCCATTCTCTGTTTCTCTCATGCTTTCTGTCTTGCTCACTTTCTCTCTCTTAAAAACACATTGCATTACAATGTGTGCCCAGCTGGAAAATAGAGCATGGTAGACTAATAACATAGAGAAATAAAAGCAAACAGTAGTTTGGGGTCTGGAGGCAGGGGAGTGGTCCTGACTTAAAATAGCAAATGATCTATCAGCACTTACTAGCAGATCTTCTAAGACCAGCACTTACTGTGGTCTAGCATATTTTAAAATAATTTTAATAGTTTGCTCACATTTTTCCCTGTGATAGATTATCTTTCTAAAGCTTATTTATTTATTAACAGTGTGAAATAATTATATAAGATTAACTTATTCCATCAATTTATCTAAACTAAGCAACACCAATTTGCGGGTAATAAAGTAGAAAAACAAATGAGTACAGCAGCAGCTTGGTTAAATGAAGTGTAGTTTGAAGTGAATAAAACTCCAGATGAAACACATCAAATAGCACTTGAACTAAATCGAAATCAGCATGAGGACTGAGAGCTTCATTGAAGTCATGCAGTGAGTGAGAATTAGTCTGGTAGGATAACCTGGTAATGTCATTAAACTCAAATTCAGTCCTCCCCCCCAAATTATACCACCTGCTTTATTTGGACTTTTAGATTTCACATTCCAGAGTTTCTTAAAGTACACACATCTGATGCTACATGTGTTCCTCTGTTTCTTCATAGAAAATATATACCACAGACCATACCTTTTAAAAACAAAGACGTTTTATGAACTGTTATGGAATCCCTCAGGTAGTGTGTTTTGAGTTAGCAGTGAAAATCTCAACTTTATTTCTGACATAAATCAGTAGAATAGCTTTCTTTTCTAGTTTCAATATAATAATCTCAAAATGTATAAAAAAACTGCAGTAATATTTATTTTTTAAAACTAATTGATAAACATAGGTAGCATCTTTTAACAGATGAAATTTCAGCAACATTGACCCAGTAAAGTCCATTAAATAACCATAAATGTTACAAAAGTGTTGTTTCATTTACCTACTAGATTGATGTCTGTTTTAATTACAGTTAATGCACTTTCTTCTTATAAAAGAAATATGCTCAAGCTCTCTACTTAACTAAGTCATGGACATCTTTTAAATTGTATAGCTAATCTATTTTTATATGAAAGCAAAAACATCTGGTCTTTTGTTTTTGTCAGACATAACAAGATGCAAAATACAATGTTAATGTCAATATTTTACAACTACTTTATGTAGTGTTGCATGCCAGATTGTAAAGCAGCTTTCAAGAGGATGTCTAAAACCAACTGAGAATTAACAGAATATGGTTAAAAGCCTATAATGAATGACAAGAATGTTTATTGCCTAAAAATTAGCTGATTTCTTTTTCTTTTTTTTTTCTTTGGCTACAATGTCTGTGGTAACAGATGAGGTAATCTAGCGTAAGACATTTCAGTGTTACAATGCTCTGTCACTTATAAAATATCACTTTATTGTAGTTCTGAAGAATATTAAAGTAACATTAAAGAATATAGATTCTGAATAGCCTTCCTTTATTTTTCTCATGTCTGGATTGATAGTGAAGTATGTTGTTGATATATTTTGAGCTGGATATTGTTCCATTTATGTGTGTTATTTTATTGCTTTTTCTTTTCTTTACCTATCTACTCTAAATTCCCTTCCTATGACAAGAGTTCAGACTCTGATTTTCCTTTATCAGGACTATGTGAAGGTTCCCAGTTACTATCTCCACCTGTGACAGGCTTTGAGACTTTAAATATTGGTAGAATAAGGTTATAAATGGAGATGATGTGATCTGTCCCTGCATCTTTTCTATTCAGCTTCTCAGTCCAGTAGTCTACTTTGAAGGAATGTGTTACCCTGATAATGAGTCTTCTTGTTCTCATTTTGAGACCAAAGCAATAGCTGCTGGCTTGCTGTCTGCAAGGAAACATGAATACAGACTTAACTAATAGCTGGTTATGTTAAATTTGAGCGTGTGAATGAACCTTTTATCAAAAAGTTGAGTGCTTGCTGGGTAAATGAGTATCTAGGATTTCATGGCATGCACTTTAATGATTAGAGTACACAGCAGTTAATTGACTGTTCTGAATTGTTACTCTATCAGAACAAATCTGGAATAGACACTTGCAATTAGATCTTAGTAAACAAACAAAATCCTTGGGAGGCTCATGGATACAATTTTTGCAAAGATTCTTTCTTTTGAGCTGTTCTCTGCGAGTAGTGTGTTAAGAAATAAATTTCAGCTTAAATGTAGGCAGTGTGCTAATAGTCATGTAATTCTGGGTGGGGAAGGATTCTTGATAAAGTAAGATTTGAGTTGTGTTGGAACATGAGATTTGAGTTGTGTTGAGATTGAGTTTCTTTCCTTTAGTGTTTTTATTGACAAAAGCTGACGAAAGTTCAAAGTTTGGTTTTAAAGGAAGTCATGTGTTTCATGTGCTGGGCACCTCAGCTGCTCAGAGATATGATGGCACTTACTTCACTTATGAAAGATGTGGGTTTACAGTCCTGATGTAATTATCTTATTAATATGTGCCCTCATAGTACTGGGGCATCATTGTAGAATTGTAGATAAAAAGATCCTCACATGGAATATATATGTGTATTTTCTGTAGGCTTTGTTTTTATGAACTCCTAGGAACATTTATATAATATGTTCTTAATATTTCAACACAGATTTAACTGTGAAGATAAATATTTACTGTGTCTCTAGAATCTGTTATATTTACATTAGAGTGGCATGTTAGGTCATGACCTCCTTTTGGCTACCTATTATACAATGCTATTGAGAAACATCCTTTGCCAGCAACCTGAATATCAGCAATCTGTGTTTCCTAACCTGACTTCCTAGCTTTTATTTTGACTTTGTCACCATGTAGTTGCCAAATAGAATCATAGAATAGTTAGGGTTGGAAAGGACCTTAATATCATCTAGTTCCAACCCCTCTGCCATGGTCAGGGACACCTCCCACTAAACCATGTCACCAAAGGCTCTGTCCAACCTGGCCTTGAACACCACCAGGGATGGAGCATTCACAACTTCCCTGGGCAACCCATTCCAGTGCCTCACCACCCTTACAGGAAAGAATTTCCTCCTTATATCCAATCTAAACTTCCCCTGTTTAAGTTTTAACCCATTACCCCTTGTCCTATCACTACAGTCCCTAATGAAGAGTCCCTCCCCAGCATCCCTATAGGCCCCCTTCAGATACTGGAAGGCTGCTATGAGGTCTCCACGCAGCCTTCTCTTCTCCAGGCTGAGCAGCCCCAACTTTCTCCACCTGTCTTCATATGGGAGGTGCTCCAGTCCCCTGATCATCCTCACGACCCTCCTCTGCACTTGTTCCAACAGTTCCATGTCTTTTTTATGTTGAGGACACCAGCACTGTACTGATTACTATGTACACATAATTTAGTTAAATTTTTTTAATTTCTCACTTAACATTACAAAACCTGAAGATTCTAAAGACCTTGTGTTACTGCTCTTTGGATTTCTGCTCAAGCTTTTGCTCCGGTAAAGGTCTTTGTGTTTTTATACAGCTTTACTTCCATTTTCTTGTCATGTATCCCATACAAGGCAAATATCGCTCCCTTAATCAAGGCCATGTAGTCGTATTCCATACAACTGTATTCTTATTGACAGACTTCATCTTTAGACTCCTTACAGAAGCCTGTAAACTCATTTAAGCTCCAGTATGACTCAGGATGTGCACCTGCTCATGTGTGCTCTGTGGGTCATCTTGAAAATCCCGTGTGTTTTTAAGGGTATCAGGGAATTTATACCAGAGAGCAGTTTGTGTTGATCTACAAGCAATGTAGTAGATGAAGGTCTGGCTTACTGCACAGTAAGAAGTTATTTAGCAAAGAATTTAGCTCCTGCTTATGTGGCCTTTACCAACAAAGTGCTACTTCATTAAGAGCAGGACATGTCAGGATTTTCTGTTCACTAATGAGAAGGTTAAAAGTATATAATGGGCAATCAGTTGAACTGTCTTTATTACTTTTTTTTGATTGAAACATCTTTTATGGGCATGCCCAATGGGGTAATGTTGCTTAGCACTAAAAATCACAGATTTCTGACCCTGGAAGTCATAGGACCTAGCCATCATGCAGTTGTTACACTGAGACGTACATGCATCTGTGCAGTTGCTATACTAAGAGGCAAGCAGGCCCTGCTGGCAGGAAACACAGAGCCAGATATCCACAGACTGTGAACATTAGATCATAAATCTAGGAAGTTTTCCAATAAATTGACACTTGGGTCTTGATTTTGGCAGCCCCTTTTTATTGACTAGTCACAGTAAATCAAGAGTAATGTCAATTTAGATTGGATGTGGATTGTGTTTCACATGGGCAGTTGAGGGGCATGCTCGTTTCCTGGGTCAGAAGCAGAAACAGGTTGAAAACACATGAAACTCATTTGGTGGCATTCAGTTGTGACTATTAGTTATGTCAGTAATTGGATATAACTGCCAGATGAAAATTCAGGGTATCCTTCGGAACAGGAAAGATCTGGGATTACATGCCTGAACAGATGCCATCCGTGTTTAGGACAGGAAAGGGTTTCAGGCACGTCGGCATCATGTGAGTTAGAGCTAGCACATGTAAAGACCTGTTTGAACTATTGAGATATGCCAGTGATATGGGCTGTGCGAAGGCAGACAGAAATAGTCATTCTCTTGGGTTCTGCAGAGGTGGTTGTGTAGAATTGCATCAGATGTGAATGGTCAGTCTAGGGAGTACACTGGATTGCTTCAGCACTGTGTACTTCCCTGCTTCTCTGCCATCACCTAGAAAATGCATCAGAGAACATAAATACTAGATCAGGGATTTTTGTTTTGTTTTGTTTTTAATTTATTGGTAGATGTTTTCAGGATGTTTTCAAATTCACTGTTGTAAGCTGTGAATTTGACACTATAAGAAATTTGGTTTACTGTGCATCTTTGAGGAGTAAAGTATGTAAGTGTATCATAGCAACTTGTGAATAGTAATATGTGGTGATTTAAGACTTAGTTTTAACAGAATGATTTGTTACTGATAACATGGTTTAACATATCTTTCATTATAAAAGTTGAAGTAGGCCATGCTTGTGTATAAGGATGAAGGTGAGTAAGGAACTTGTGTGAAACACTTGCTAATCTGCAGTGATACTGGCATATCAAGTTTCAACATGAACATTTTGAGGCGCTTTCCAAGTGCACTCTTCTGGAAGGAGCTGTTGTCAGTTACCAAGAACAGCCCTCTGTCCAGGAGGGGTTTTGCATTCTGAGTACATGACTTGCAGCTTGATTAGTGTGACTACAAATTAACTTCAGTTGGAAACCCCTATTTTATTTTTTTTTTTCTTTTTTAAATCAAGTCCATATTTAATGTCACTGCTTTGCAGCAGATGTGGCAGGCGGCATTCAGCAAATCTGTTAAAACTGCACTTTTAATCAATGTAAATTGGAAGCAGTTGTATTTTTATAGTTTGTCCATGAGGAGGAAAGTCAGCAGAGTTGACAGTAAAGGGTGGTCATCTGTAGAGTTTTCAGTGTAGTATTTAGACTAATTGTTAAGGCTCTTCAGTGAAAGTAAATTAAGCCTATTAACTAATATCTATCTGTCCTGGGAAAGTGACTGCACATGGTGAATACGTTATCTAGTATTGTCTGGAATTTGCACTGGAAACAAGCAAATATCATTTATTTCAAAATGCGTAGGATTTTCAGAGTTAAATCCACATTTTGCTTTACTTGAGACTGGTAAAATGTATGAAAGACTTACTGTCTTAAAGCTGAAGTGCTACTAAGCAGCATAAATAGTAAAGAAAATTTGAATCCCTACTATATGTTCCTTTTGTATTAGATGTATTAGAAAATTCTGTTGCTCTTAGTGTTATCCTTATATGTAGAAAGTATCTGGTTGGGATTTTCAGTAATATTCTTGGTTATGAAGCTTTACTCATGTAAACTCTGGACAGAAAGATCCACTGGTGGCAGTTCACACGTGTTTTGTCCTTTGTTTCTGAAATTTTTGCCTGCAATTTGGTGACCTCTGCTTCCAGCCTTCCCCCTTGAAGTGCATCTGTGAATCACAAAGAGAAGTACAGTCTCTGAGCTGACGTGTGTTCTGCAAAATAAAACATTCCAGAAAGCAATCTGTGGACCTGAGGCCTGGTGGCCTCTGTGTCTCAGTTGATATCCACATGCCCACCAGTAGCTTTTCCTTCTGCTCCCAAAAGGAGAGAAAAAAACCCAAACAAAGCAACAACAATTAAACACTTAAGAAGGATATGGTCAGACTTTGCACACTGTGGATGGGGACAGCTTCTGGCACGCTTGGTCTCTTCAGCATTGCTTGAGAAAGTGCCAGCTGCTGTGGCCTGAGACTGGCAGGGACCAAGCTTAGAGGTAAACTGTATACACAGCCACAGGCCATTACAGGAGCCTGCGCTTGGCCTACGTTAGTTTGCAAATAAGGACTTAACCTGCTTGAAACTTGTACTCTGAAACTGAAGGGCATGGAGGTCAGCGGTGGTGTCATCCTGCTACCTGCCCCATTCAAATGTTGATTAGCACACAGGATTTTGAAGGAGTGAGCTTTAGTGTTTGCAGTTGTTCTCTTACCTTTCATCTTTGCATTTCTTTTTAAGAATATGCTGTGGGTCTTGATAGGATTGAAAGCACTATTTTAAAAGGTTGTAGTTGTTAAGTACAATGACTTGAAGTAAAATGTAGATCGTCTTTCATGCTTTAGGACTTCTGGTATAGTTCCCTATCGAATTATGTTTCTGAAATTTTACTGTTCACGTTGTGTACCAAATAATCCTCCTTTACCAAAGTTGTATGTTTAAGGGCTTCTTGAATCAGTTATATGCTTATTGAACAAGCTGTACAGAATTGTTGATTTTTGTTTATCTTTCTATGGTTACCTTTGTTATGCTTATGGAGCCTTGTTATGTTGCTGGGCAAGCTGTAGCCTATTCTTCTTCAACTCGCAGAGCTTCACTTTCAGGTGGTAGGCGTCATTTCCACATGGAGTGAAGTAGCAGCAGTTTCATGGTATTAAATTATGCAAGCATAATCTATACAGTTAAATTATACAAGCAAGTTAATGTCACACGCAGTTGAATTTGGTAACCATGATAGGTGGTGACTAAAACCATTTTATTAAAAAGCTATATTTGTGTTCACTTGGAGCAGCATATAAACAAACAAAAAAAAAGGCTTATGTGGGTGTTCAGCAGTCCGTAATACCATAGAAGCTTTACTGCACCTCTGTTCATTTCTAGGCAGGAGCAGCATACTGTCCTGTGTCCAGTATCTTTTTTTTTTGTTGTTGTTGTATTCTCCTCATGCTTGTTCCCTTTGAGACATAGACAGGCTTTTTGTTTTCCATGAGAATAGTCCTCATAGGTTAGGATCTGTCTTTGGTCCTAGGCTAAGTGCTAAGGCTAAGTACATTGTTTTTGTACAGGGAAACGTCCTGACCATTTTTACTCAAGCACTTTCATCCTAGTTGTTTATAGCTTTGTATTATCTTTAAAATTACTATTTCTTTAGTAACACCTTTAAAAATAAGTTTAAGTAAACCTTTCAGCTGTACATACTGAGTAACAGCTACTGTACTCAAGACACACTAATCTTTGGACCTCCACTGGGCCTGTATGTCTGGAAGGCACTGCCTGATTTTCATTAGGTTTTGATCTTCTAAATGATATCAGCTCCCACTTTCTGAACTATGATTTTAGTATATGTTTTGGATGAGAATATTAGAGGGCAACTTGTGGAAAAAAGGAAGAAAGAGAACAACTGAAGTTAGTCTCATGTGAGATGAGGCCCTTGAACAGTAAACTGTGAGAGTAAAATCTGTTTATCAGAAGAGATTTGGAAACCAGTTATACCTGTTGCAGGTGCTTCTGATATTGATGCAAGAGATGGAAAGGATTATGTTGACTGAGACACTAATAGAATTGTGGATTAATTTTTTTCAACTAATCAGAACTTTTATCCATTGTAAAATGTATTAACCCCCCCCCCCGCGGATTCTATAATAAATTTTAATTAGTTTTATTTGCTGATGTCTAACTAGCTTTTCCTTTGAGTTTAATAGCTGATTCCAAAATGAATAATTGAGTAGAAGGAATTGTATTTGGTAAGCATGATGTGAATATTCTTTTGGTAGTCAAGAAATGTGCACATACATGCAGGATGGCAGAACTAAGAATCTGATTTTTGTGTTTTAAAGGGGCAAATTGAAATGGAATTGTTATAACGCTGTCACTGACTTAAGTTGCTTGCTCTTAAAGTACATGTATTTGTTATACTCTTAACTTTTATTTTGCATAATTCTTGGATTTGGCTGTAGCCATATTTTACAGCAAGAAAATGTTTTTCTTATGTGTTTTACTGACATTATCTTTTCTTCAGTATGTAACCATGTCACATAGTATGTGACCATAATTTTGATGGTCTTGAAGACTCACTAGAGTTTGTGGAGGTTTTTAAGTAATGAAATAGAGGTAGTGAATAGACCAGAACTGAACACAAAGCCCCCTGTATCCATAGAATTTGCCTCAAAGCTTTTTAATTTTTAATGAAATTTAATTTTTAATGAAAGAATGGTGTAAAGTCAATGCCAGAGTCAGTGCTTAAGTTGGTAAATTTAGACTTAACAGTTGTAGTCTTTGAAGTAAAAAGTGCATGCATTTACTGGGATTTAATGTTTTGTTTTAAATAGTTCTGGTAGCCTTTAAAATTCTTTTGAGGTTGCAAATTAGTGAGGCCACAATATATTAATTCTAACAGCCTCTATACTTTTTCTGCTGTTGTGCAGTGTATACACGTGAATCATTGTCTTCTGGGATGACAACTTTTCCTCTGCATAAAATACAGCTCTGCACTCAAGTTTTTCTTTCCACAGGGATAGGCTCATCTGGTCAGCTGTGCTGGCTCTGGAAAATGGAAAGGTCCTCACCACAGATAGGGTCCATGAGCTGGGCTGTATTCTTGTACATAATGTGTATGTAATTTTTGAACATGTTTGACTGATAATTATCAAAGTGGTGAAAGACACAGCAAAGAAGAAAGTCTCGTTGGAAATTTGGAGTAGGAAAAGAGTTTGAAATCATGAATAGAGTGGAATAGACTAAGAAATGAAATACCTGTGCAATTGAAATAAATTTGTTAGAAGATAACTACTTTTTATTTAAGATGCCAAATTTTGAGCTGTGCTAGGAATAAGAAAGGTAATTTGACAGTAGCTTAAAAACAAAACAATGACTGCAACTTAAAGAGATCATAGAATCACGTTGGATAGAAATCTGTATAAAAAATCCTTATTTGTACTCCTAGTAATGCAGCAAAATTCTATCCTACAATATAATATCCTGTACCGTACAGAAATATTTTGTAAATAACGATTATTAGCTACTGTATGAATTTCCCTCAGATTGAAGGGATGGCTTCTGAGAGCTGCTGCTCTTAATTCTGACAGCATGAAAGGATGATGGAAGTAGATGCTTTTCTTGGCATCTCATGGCTGCTGTTCTCTTGCTCTCCTGATAACACCAGATGAAGTGTGGATCTCTTTGCGAAATGGCAGGAGCCTTTGTGTCCTATTCTTGTTTCGTGGCATTGTGTTCAACAGATGACTGTTTGCCAGTGTAGTTTTCTTCACTGCGCACCAGTGTGTTTCCGAGCCCTCCTGGCTCCCTGTTTTACCTGCTAATGGCAACCCAATGGCTCTGTGTGGCAGATTTAGAGGATTGATTTAACAGCTATTGCTGCTGTTTCTGAGTGAAGGGGGAAGGAATACAGGAAAAGGGAGATGATGAGTTGCTTCTCTGGACAGTAAAGCAGGCTGCTCTGTGGGAAGACATTTTTCCAAACTCTGTTCCAGCCCTGTGGCTATTGAGATGAGATTCCACTGCAGTATCCAAAGCAATGATACTGGATTTACAAAAAAATACAAAGTTTTAGGAAACAGAGATCCTTGCTGTTTGGAGGTTTATGGCCTCTAGCAATTTGTACTTGTTAAGTAAGCTCTAGTGCTTTTGGTGGTCTTGGTCATCTCTAGCTGTTTAGTTACAGCATCTCCAAGTTCCAGGTGATTTCACCCCCGGAAACTATCCTTTACCAGGAGGAAAATGATAATGATTACATTTATTTTAGCTTTGCTGCTTTACTGAGTAAGAGCTAGTTCTCTGAAACATATAGTAGATGTAAAAGTGCTCTGCTTCTGGTTTGATTGCCTCTCTACTACCTTCATCAAACCAGTGGTTCCCTATAAGAAGTCCTTGCTTCTTTCCAAATGTCTTTCTGGTGGTTTTTCTTTTGTTTTGTCTTTTTAATTATGTTTTATCTTTGGTCACTGTAATGCATACCGATTTTTCTCATGGACCTTATATTTGGATCTCTTTGAACATAATGCAGCTAAATGTCATATCCCTGCTACCTATATTCACAGTCAATGGCAATAAGTTTCCCAGATTCAAGTAAAAAAGTTACAGACCTCACAGAAGTAAAGAAAGATGTTTAAAGTGTGAGAAAAAATGTCCTTAATTGGCATTAATTGCATTCCATGAGGAAACTTTCTTATTCCTTGTTTTCTGATTTCCCACACACACACCTTGTGGAGTTCTGAAGATGCAGTTCTTCAAAGATGTAACTTTATGCACAAGATTCAGTTGGTTGATAATGTGTCTAAAGCTAGCCATATATAGTAAAGACTGAAAGAAGGCTGAGGGCTCATATTATAATCTCCTCAGAGCAGAGAACTTTGAATTTTAGTCTTTTATAGATTGTCTATATCACTTTAATGGTTCTTTCTGGAGAGAAGTATTAGTTAGTGGTTAGGAAAGGATTTTTTATGTTTTTTTTTTTTTTTCTTCCCCAAAGGAAGAAAGAGTAATTAGTGTCTGACCTCCACTTGCAATCTGATGGGAGTTCACATCCTTAGCATCTGTCCCATTCGTGAGTTTTCCCAAAGCCAGTAAGCTGATTTTGATCTAAACATCCTAAATATGTTTTTCTAATGCAGCTGCAAGTTTAACATGTTCCTGCATTACAGTTTTAGCAGCCAGTTTGGTTTATTGTGTGTCCAAAAATCCTGAGACCTCTCCCCTTGTTGGTATTAACACGTTTTTATTTCAAATCCCTTGTATTTTGAAGTGTGTTGGCAGTGACTTAACTTGGAGATAGGCTGCTTTCTTCCCTTTTTTTCCCTTAAACTTTCAATCCAGTGGGTGGAAAGACTCATCTGATGCTCAAGTGTGGTTGGATTCAAGCTGAGGGAAATGA